CCTTGGCCACCAGCCTGTAGGGGCTGTCCCCAGGTCTGCACCCCCTCTGGGGGTCCCTGCCTCCCTCTCTGTGCAGGCTAGCAGGGCTGCCAGGGACGGCACCACATCCTCTGCTGGGCAGCACCTCTGCCTTTCCCAGCTCGTGCTGGGGTTACTGCACATCTCAGCACAGCAGCTGGTGAGCAACAACAGCCAGAACAACACTCAGAGCCTCAGTGTGTGTCTGCAGAAACCATCTGTGTCACTGCTGTAGCCACTGCCCCAGCAGCCTGCTCAGACAGCAGCCCAGCTCCATCCCAGAGCCTGGGAGGAAAGAATATTCCTGGGGAAGCCTGTCAGGGGCTGGAGGGTGGCTTTCCCCTCCTGTACCAGTCTTGGAGGGGCCCTTTTGTGGTTTGAGAGAATCAGCAAAAAACAGCCTGCCTTTGCTGTTGGGTGATGACCCGCCCTTCTGGGGAAGGAAGGAGGAACCAGCCCCAGCACAGCTGCATGTGGTTTGCCCTGGCAGTTGGGTCATTTCCTCATTGCCATTCCCCCTGGAATGAAAGGGGAGCAGGATGGCTGTTGAGTTCCATTGTGTCTGGCCCAAGCCATGCTGAGCAGGCAGGTGGCTGGGGAGGCCCCTGTGGCCACTGGCTGGTGACAGTGTGCTCTGGGGTCATGCCAGGAATGCAGTGCTGCTGGCTTGGGCTGTTGGGGGTGCAGAGGGTGGGTACTGCCAGCCTCCCTCCCCATCTGGCTCCACCACACCCCATGGCATTCATAACTTCATATCTTACCTGGATAACTTCATATCCAGCTGGTTTTGGGGGACATGGGGCTTTCCTGGTGGACCCTTCAGAGCAGCTCTCTGGACACCAGATGCCTGCCACCTCCAGGGGGGTACCAAGAGGCCATGAGAGTGGCCATGCAGGCTGGGGGCAGGATGGAGATGGGGGGCTGTGCTGCTGAGCCTCTGGAGGCAGAGCTGCAGCTGCAGAGCCTGTCCCTGCACTGCTCCCTGGCCAGAACAGGCCCTGGCAGGCAGAGATGTAGCAGCAGATTAAATTTTGATCCGCTTGGGAATTAAAATAGGCTGGCAACTCTGCTCTGCTCTGTGACACCAAATGCTTCAATCTGAGGAGTTAATGTGCCACCCTCTTCCCTGTAAATCTGAGCACTGTCAGATCCCCTTCCCTGCTGGTGGGGCAGAGCTGCAGTGGCTGCTGAGTGGGATGAATCCAGCAGCAGGGCCTGAGTCCTGGAATCTGGAAACTGACCCCAGGCAGATGGGGTCACTGGTGTAAGAGCAAACTGGTGTCAGCTCCTGACAGTTCTTGCAGCAGCAGTGGGTTTTGCTCCCTCACAGTCCAGAAGGGCTCCAGGAAATCAAAGCAGGTGATGGGTGAGATTTTATCACTCCTTTCTCACCTGGCTACAGGCAGGGCCCAACCCTTCTGTTCCCTGTGGTGAGCTTAAGCACACATGACCCAGTAGCTGTGAGGAGCCTGTGTGCATCCAATAATCCTCTTGCCCTGAGCTGTGCCAGGCGGCAGCTCCCTATAAACACACAGGCTTAGTGCTCGCCTCTCTTAGCCTTTGCAGGCCTGCCATGATGGCTGCTGTCACATGGCTTCTCTTCCCTTATTCTCCTTTATTCCCAGTGCTGCAGTTGCTGTCCTGGTTCCTGCTCTTGTCCCCCAGGCCTCACTGCAATTAGGCAAAGGCTGACTCCTCTCACAGCCTGTCCTGGAGCTGCCAGCATGCTGTGATGGCACCTGCACCCTGCAGGATGTCCCCCTGCAGCTTCAGAGGAGTCCCTCTCCTGAGACAGCTGTACCCCCATGGCACCCACACCCCACTGAGGGGGAAGTGAGCCTGAGTGAGTGAGTGGTGCAGGGAGGAGATGGCAGAGGCAGCACGGGCAGTGCAAGTGGCACATTTATGGTGCAGATGGGAAGTTTTCCCTCAGTGTGGTCACTTCCTGATGAACTACCCCTTCTGTGCCACCATCAGGATCACCAAAGGCTGCACAGGTGTGCTGGGTTCCCAACCTCATACACAGATTTCTTTGCTAGTCATAGAGTTTTAAGGCTGTTACATCCCCCTGTCCTCCTTAAGCTTTCCCATTTTCCTGCTGTGTTCACCCAAGCACTTACTCCATCTCTAATTCATATTCTCCACACAGGACCTCACACTGATGGTGCTTTGCAAGGCTGGACAGATGACTGCTCTTATTTTTCCATTTTTATGCCAATGTGTCCTGTTCCATTTCACTGCATCTCAGGGCAGCTTGCACCATGGGCTGGTCAATGCTGACATTTTTAAAACCTGCTGAAGAATAAACATGCAGTTCCTTCAAGACTGTGGCAGCTGTACAGGCACAGTAACCTGACTTGCAAAGCAAACAGGTAGGAGACATTTTGACAAACTAAATACAACACCCCTCCCAGCTCAGTTATCAAGACTTTGGGGTAATGTGAGTGTTAAATTAATTTAACTGCCTGGTCTGCACATAGGTGTGCAACAGTTTCTATCATCCTGGACAAGATAATGCATGAAAAATCATGACACATTACTGGGCAGGGAGCAGCTGCTATTGTTTACATAATACAAACCAAATTTACAGACAGAATTTAACTTGTTCAATGGAATTACCTGCCCTGCCTGAGAGGTTCTTGGGGACAGATCAGAAAGGGTTTAGATCTCATCTTGTTTGGACATAAGAACATGCTAGAGAGTACTGGCCATACTCATCTTAAAATGGGAAGAAATGCAGGGGAGTTCTTGGTTCCCTCCTCTGAAGTGATCACTGAGCATTTGTTATGTTTTACAGGCTACTCCAATTGTGGGACAGGTGACAGGACAGGGAAAACTCCTGAATTTTCTCAAGCTACTGATATGAAACATAAGGACTGGTCTGACTGAGAGCAGAAGCAACTTGTTTTCGACATCAGCCCTGAGCCACTGCACAGCAGGAGAGGAAAAGCCAGCAAGACAGAAGGGCAGAGAACCATGGTGAGACTCGTGCACCCTCCTAGTGTCCATGTCTGTGTTTGCAAGTGACAGCAGCTTTACAACACCAACAGATGTGTCCCCCACCCAGTTTGTGTCATAAAGTGGCTCTGACACACAAAGTGCAACTGCTGCAGGGTTCAGTCTTGGAGTGGCTGGACACCAGGTGCCCACCAAGCCACTTGTGTCACTTTCCCTCTTGGGGTGTCCCTACCCATGGCAAGGTGTTGGAACTAGCTGGTCTTTAAGGTCCCTTCCAACCCACTCTGTGACTCTGTGATTTGTCCAGGTTACTCCATGGAGAGGGCTCACAAGCTAACATTAACCTGGAACATGCATTTCCCCAAAGCCTAGGAAACCTGGTGTTTTCTCCCTGCTAGCTGATGGAGACGTAGCTGGTATCTTGATTACATCCATAGGCAAGTGGTGACATCCCTGATTGTGTTCCCAAGAGCTGAACAGCTGTTGGGCTTCCCTACCTTCCTGCTGACTTTGGGCCCTGTAATGCCAGCATCAGAGCAGCCAGTAAGGACTCCACCTGGCTGTGATCTTTCCACATGTCTCAAAGTTCTTATGAGGGCAGACTGAGTGGTTTCTGCTTCCTGTCTGAATTCCCTCACTCCTTCCTGCATTTTCTTTTCTCAAGGACCAACTTCTTGATGGAACCCTTCTTCTCCCTCCTCCCCTAGTAACTGGTGATACAGACAGATTGACTTCCACCTCCACTGGGTTTTTCCCACAACTGGGGCAACTGCAGTTCTTGTTTGGGCCCCTATCTCTACTCTCACCTCAGATGGAGTTTGTCCCCAGTCTCAATCAGGTTACTCTCAGAGGTGGCTGGGTCCCTGAGTTAACCACAGCCCTCTGACAGCCCTGAACTGGGCTTTGCAGGCACATGCCAAGCCCCAGCACAGTGCCAGAAGCTGCTGGTTTTCACTGGGCTAGGCACCTTCTGTCAGTTGGCACGTCAGTTTGCCAGGGGTACTTGCCTGTTCAGGTGTAGTCCCAGGCTATGGGAGGTGATAACTAGCCCAGGCATTTGCCCAAATCCTTCCACACACTCTGCCACCCACGGACCAGCTGCCTCAGGGCACATTTCAGTATTGACTCACCCAAAAATTGTCTTCTCTTACACCAGGATGACACCAGATTACACAGACCCCATGATATGCCAACCATGTTAATTAGTAGCACTTAATATTTCACATAAGGCTGAGCAGGAACAATAAAGCCACCCACACCAGGTGGGAGTGGGAAATGGATCCTCTCCACAAGGCAGCTCCCCCAGCAGAGCAAGGCCATCAGTGCCAGGGCAAAGCACAGAGCCATGGTTTGTACTAACATGTTCCCAAAGCCCAGCAAAGTAAAGAGATAAGAAATGCAGCCAACAAACACTGTGGCCCAACAGGAGCTGCCTACTTAGTAACTACTATGGCTAAAGCACACTTAGCACAGAACAGGCATTGCCTCAGGCCCCACTCTGGGCACCAAACCATGGAGGGCTGACCCTGCCTGAACACCAGGTACCCACCAGGTACCCACCAAGCTGCTCTCTCACTCCCCTCCTCAGTAGGAGGAAGGCAGGGAGAAAGGAAGATGGGAATGGAATTTGTGGGCCAAGATAAAAGCAGTTTAATAAAGCAAAAGCAAGGCTGCATGTGGGAACAAAGGAAAACTAAATATTTATTGTCTACTTTTGACCAGCAGGAGATGTCCGGCCACTTCCTGGGAAGCACAGCTTCAGTGCACAGAGCAGCTGCTGCAGAAGACAGATGTTTTAATAAAGAATTCCCCCCATGTCCCTTCTCTTAGCTATTGCTGCTGAGCAGATGCCATAGGGTCTGGAATATCCCAAGATCGTGCTCCCACCCCAGCATGCTGGTGAGGTGGGAATGTCAGAGGCAGCCTTGACGCTGTGGGAACATTGTTCAAGAATAGCCAAAACATTGGTGGCTTATCAATAGCTTCCTAGCTACCAACACAAAACACAGCTCCACAAGGGCTGCTAGGGGTGAAATTACCTTCTCAGTCAGACCAAATACAACTGTTTATTTAAAAAAATTAACAGAAACTTTTAACAAAATCACACCGAACAGTGAGGATCTGAAAAGCCAGGCAGCACTGGGGGCATCACAAAGAGAAATGCTCTGCAGGCCCTGACCAACCCAAGGGCTAGATGTGCAGACAGGCCCTCCAAGTGGATGGTAACACCTTGTCCACTTCTCTCATTCAGTGATATTGTTTATTGAGCAGGTGAGGTTGTAAATGAGAAACCTGAATCTCTTGTGCATCCTCACTAGGTGGCCAGGCACCTGGAGGGCTCCAATGGTGATAAGCTTTTAAAAAAAGTTCCATTTGAAAGCAACCACAGCTGCAGTTGCAGCTTGGAGGAAGCGACCTGCTTAAGTGCAACATGAAGGGTATGTCATAGCATGAGGTGTGTGTGACATGCTGCATTTCTTCTTGCCCAAAATCCTACAGAGCTGTCCATTTTTTCCCCTTGCTGCCCTGTACCAGCACAGAACATCCTCTCTAGCTCAGGAAGAAGGGAGAATGAACACATGTATATCCACAGTCTAAGGAGAGTCACCTTTTGCTGGAACTTGGATCACTCCATACCCCATCCCAAATGTGAGAACAGGGCTAGCTCTGGAAGGACAGAGCCCTCTACAAGCTAGGAGCCACGAGGCAATTAATAGATTGCAGGCTGGTGATTTGCCTTCTGCATCTGGATGATCTTGCCAAAGCCACCTCTTCCCACATCGTAGTCTGTCCGGTATTCATCTCGCACCTGGGGCACAGCAACAACACACATTAACAGCCAGCACTGCCAGCCCCCAGAATCATCCTCCCCTCCTTGTTCAGCTGGTGGGGAACTGAAATTCACATTAGAAGCACTTCAACTCGTCTGAGATCTCTTCAACTAATCCACCAAAAAGGTGGTAATGGTGGTGAAAATGACCAAAAAGGATATATTTGATTGTGGAGATTTTTTTCAGGTAAGAAGCAAAGACTCCAAAATATTTTTTTGTTCAGCTTTTCAGTATGCCCTTCTGAACTGCCAGGCTTGACCTTCAGAACACTTTATCTCATCTAAACCTCATTGCCCTTGGAGAAACTGCTGTGTTATGAGATTGGCCTGGCAGCCACACTGCTTCCCTCCACTCAAATCCCGGATCATTTCAAGGGTACTACCTTGGATTAGGGAACATTCTGCTTGCATTGCAGGAAGTTTGGAGTCCTAAACAAAAGTGGCCTTAAGTTCTATTGCCAGCCTTTATCACCAGGTGTCAATTACCAAAACAACCTGGGAGTGAGTAACCTTCATTATCGGGTCTTTACAGTCTGCACATTGTTCTCCCTGAGACAAAACCAGCAAGGAAGTACATGGAGTCTTACAGGATCGAATTTAGGGATGAACTGGCATTGCCTTTACCTGTCCTCCAGTCTTTCCTCTCCCATACTGCCTCCCCTCCTTGAAGCCTGCGTCCCAGTCTGTGCGGATGATGCGGTCATCCAGCCGCGTGCCGTTGATAAACCTCATGGCGTGCTCAGCGTCTGCTCTCGTGTAGTACCTGAGGCACTCTGTAAGGACAACTCAGGCTGCTTTTTGTTGGGCACAGGGAAAAAAATGAGGGAAGTATTGTATTTGAGAAGCTGAACTCTCCCCACTGCCTTCCAGCCTTTTCTGCTCTTCTCTATGGGATCAAAAACTGCACTCATGTAAATCCAAGCTAAGACCAGCTCAGCAAGGATTCTGTACTTTAATGTGAGTACCTGCACAGACAAGACAATGGAACAAAGACATTAAAGCCTTGCTAAGGGCAAGAAACCAGCCTTTTTGTGCTATGTAAAACTTGACTGAAATAGAACAAAAGGAGAGCTTTGCACAGACAGCTCCTGGCACAACCTGTATAAGCGTGTACCCTCTGCTTGAAAATGCCCCCATGGCTTATCCTGCTACTTCCTTCAGGTGTGCAGTTGAGAGGAGAAAGCAAACACGTGCTCTGGACATGGAAGATGTCAGGCTGATGACTAACAGTTCTCATTGTGGCCCTAAAAGCATTAAAGAAATTAATGAATTAAAGGGGCTCTCTTCCACCTCCAGAAACTACAGCTCTGGTGGCACTTGTCACATATGGCACCACTACACAGTCAGTCTCAGGGTGAGGTAAGGAAGGTGCAAGGATGGACGGGATGTGCCTGGTAGGAAGCACCTGGCTATCACCTTTCCAGCAGCAGCACAGACACACTTGCTGTGCCGAGGAACTACAGGTGCCAACCACACCCGTACTGGCAGGAAGAACCAGAAAGGATACTCTACAAAGCAGAAGCCACAGGGGGTTTTCTTGATCTTGTCCAGCCCCATGACAATCCTCTTGACATCCCCGCACTTGGAGAAGAGCTCCTGGATCTGCTCCTCGGTGGTGTAGAAGGACAGATTGCCGACATACAGCGTGGAGGAAATCTTCAGCGATTTCTCCTGCAGCTGCCTGCTACCCTGCGGGCACAGAGGGCACGCCGCGAGCTCAGCGCGCTCGCCGTGCCGCTCCCGCCGCCCCGTGCCCTCCCGCTGCCCGGTTCCTCGCACGGCCTTGTCCCGGCCTCAGCCCTCCCCGCCACCCGCCGCGCCGGGCGCACCCGGAAGTGCTGGTCGCGGTACTGGCTGATCTCGCAGTACGAGTCGCTGTTGAGCCCGCTGAGCGTGGTGTGCAGCAGCCCCGACATCGCGCCCGCCCGGGCCCCGCCGCCCGGATCCTTCCACAACCGCCGCGCACCGGACGCGGCGAGCGGCGCGCGACAGACGCCGCTCCGCCGCTCTGCGTGATTGGTCACACCGGCTGTCACTCAGGGCGGAGGGCGGGGCGAAACAGCCAGACTGGCAGTCGGCGGCGCGGGGGTTCTCCGGCAGCGCTGGGTCGGGGCGCGCAGGCGCAGTGCGGGGGCGCTGCTCCCGTGGCTCGGCGCCCCTCACGGAGCTCCCCTGAGGGGCCATGGCCGGGCCGCGGGTGGCGGCCGTGGAAGGTGTCGTGGGCTCTCCCTTCCCGATAAGTGCCGTCACTGGCGGCTGATGTTGGGCTGAATGTCACGCCCCGCTGTCTTCCTGTCTTTCAGCGCTGGTACGGGAGCTGCTGAAGGAAGAGGCGCCGTCCCGCATCGCCGCCCTCACGGAGGAGCTGTTCCGGGCGGCGGAGAGCATCTCTGAAGAGGACGGGAAGGTGGCGGAGGGAGAGTCCCCCGCTCCCAACCCGTCTGACGAAACGGGGCGTGCATGTGCTTCCCACCCCACAGCCCTGGCCCAGGTTGGTGCTGCAGCTCCGTAAACACCAGCTGCTGCTGTTGCTTCCCACCTTTGGCGAGGAAGCTAAAAGTGTAGCACTACTGAAATGTAAAGGAAACAGTTCACTTTTCATTTGCCCCAATAGCGTGAAAGTCCAAAATAAAGTGGGAAATGTTATTTTTAAAAGTCAATGTGAAATGATGTTGGATGTAAAAGTGTGTGTGTCATTGGCTCTGCATTGACCGAGCTGAACCAGTATGTGTTCTCAATGTGTTCTCCATGAGACCCACCTGGATTCTGTGTCCAGGTCTGGGGCTACCAACTTCAGAAGGATGTGGACCTGCTGGAGGGAGCCGTGAAGGTGATTGAAGGGCTGGAGAACATCCAGATGGGAAAGACAGACGGAGTTCAGAAGACAAGGCTCTGGGGAGACCTTACAGCACCTTCAGTGCCTAAAGGGGTTCCAAGAGAGCTGCAGAAGGACTTTGGGCAAGGGCTTGAAGTGACAGGAAGAGGGAAATGACTTTATGTTGAAAGAAGGTTGACTTAGATTAGCTATTAGTAAGATACTGAGAGGGTGGTGAGGCCCTTCCACAGGTTATCCAGAGAAGCTGTGACTTCTCCATCCCTGGAAGTGTCCAAGGCCAGGTTGGACAGGGTTTGGAGCAACCTGGTCTGGTGAAAAGTGTCCCTGCCCATGGCAGGGGCTTGGAGCTGGGTGATATTTAAGGTCACTTCCAACCCAAACCATTCTATGATAATAATGGGAAAATTACTGGTTACTGATGATATTAAGGTATTTTTTATTTCAAACCACTAGTAGTATCTGGTTGTAATTTTAAGTAAAAATGCAAGCACAGAGCACTGATGCATTAAGAGTTTGGTACTGGATCAGAGGAGAGGTCCTTCTCACCCTGTCTGTGGATTCCCATAGTGACAACAGATAACCCAAGGAAGAAGAAAACAAGCAAGCATGTAATTTTAACTGCCTGGTAAACAATATCCCAGTACACAAAATTATATTTGAGGTACTCATTTTCAGTCATGGTAAAAGTTTATCAAGTGGTTGTTTATAATATTTGGTTTATTTCTCCTAGAGGAGTACTTAGCCAGAAGTAAACATTTACTTTAAAAGTCCTTTTTCAAAGAGAAATCTGGTAATACATGAATCTGAAATAAGGAAAAAGACCAGCTGAGATATTGTCCAACTTCTTCCTCTAAAACTATATTTTCAAGAGACATTTAAGAAGTAGCAATTATCAGCTAAGGAACACTGATTTTGGAAGTCCTAAATTAGCAACAAGGAGCGAGATAAGTTAGCGAGTGTTGTAACAGAAAGTGTCAATAGTACAGTGTGTAAAAAAATACAAGAGCATAAAAATGGTACCCTTCAGTTCTTCCTGAATCAGTTGGGCTAAATTATTTTTGAAGAAAGGAGAAATCATAAATTTGTGATCTGACCATTTCAATAAGAGGGGCTATGAACTCTCTCCTATACAGACAAATATGTATTCATAGGCAAGATCTGTCTTGAAAAGTGGAATAAAGTGATGGAAAATCAGCCCCTCAGGGTGGGTTGCTAAAGCAGCTTATTGCCTTTATGTAGTGCTGTGTCTTTTTAACAAGAGTATATAGTCAGTAACCTTTGTTCTTTGTTTGCTAATATCTGAAGTTTCCCAGTGTAGGTATTTAAAGTAATTAAGCTACTTTGTGTTCTTTTTGACGTGCAAAAGAGGTGAAGCCTCACTACAGATAGTTCTCAAATGTGATCAGATTCTTAGAGTTCTGTTCCAACCCCTTCAGATTTTAGGTGAAGAAATGCTCCATCCATTCAGCATGCCTGTTTTCAGGTCACTGTCCAACAGGTCCCTGTGGGATCCTGTGACAGTTTTATGGAAAACTCACACCTTTGGTGTGAAAGGGAGCTGGGTAAACATGTGGAGAGGCCATTCCTGTGAAACACTTGAAAGGTGCTTCTTTTTCCAGTAGTAAATTTCAATGGGATCCACATCCAGGACACGATTAAACTGAGTGGAATTCTCCTCTCCAGGTTGAAGAGAGTGCAGTCAGCTTGTGGAACTGGACAGTGACCAAACACACGGGTGCTGTTATCAGCGATGAGCAAAGAGCCAAATGTACGTATGTTCTGTGCCTCCCTGAGGGCGTTCTGTGTGCTGCAGCATGGAGACCAAGCACTCCCTGCTGGCAGGCACATAAACAGAGCTGGAGATTTGTTTGAGTCTTTGCAGACCCGGGCTAGAAAGAGAAGAGTGTACTGGTGGGCTTGTATAAACAGTTCAGGAAAAAGCATCCTGATGTAATTGTTATCTTGTGGCACAGAATCAGTGCAGGCATTCTTATCACTCCCCTTTCCATGCCAGAGCACCAGCAAAGAGGTGATGTGACCAAAGGAAGCTGTAATTTGCATTTCTGATACTGTGGTTCAAATCTAAAAATGTATTGAAATAACACAGATGTAAATCTGAGACTGTTGGTCACTTAATTTATATCAAGCAAGGTTGTTTTTTTCATGGAGCTATCTCATCCATGTTTACATACAGAAACATTCTAAATCCTCTTTTCACTGACCTGCTTTAGCCAGGTGCACAGCTCCTGGGTTCTCTTGGGCCAGGAGCAGGGCTGGGGGAAAGCAGAAATGAGCTTTTGGTGTTTTCCCTCAGTGTGTTCTTTCTGTGGTTCTGTGGGATTGCAGAGTCAGGCCTACATTCTTGTCCTGAGGGATTATAGTCAAAATTATGTATAATCTGCATCATATAAATTACACCAGGTAAGGGGAAAAGGGTAAGTTGACAAAGTAGAACATGATGTTCTCAGATCACAGCTGAAGGGCCAGGGAGAGGCTGTTTTAAATACATTAAGTAGTGTGTTTTCCATCCCTGATGTCTAAGGAAGGTCTGAAATTTTTGCTTTTTACTTTGAAACTGTAAAGATTATTAAACTTCATTTCCTTATTTTGCTGAAGGCTACTTTGAGGCTTTCAAGAAATGTTACTGTAAGCACCTGCAATGTAATTAAATCTTTGAATACCATGTATTTAACTTAAACTCTCTCTAAATTGTTTAATAGGTATTTTAATGAGAATATATATTTTTTTTTCTTACTGTCTGAAAAGCAATTTTAATATCTTGGCTAAAATTCAGATTGCTTTAACTCCTGAAGCTTTCACACTTTTCTTTCTTGTGATTTAAAATGCCAGATAGTCTTTCAGATATGGCAGGGCTTGACTTTCTGAAAAAAACAAATGAAGAAGTAGAGAGAAGGGAACTTGAATGCCTGCTGTGTTTCCTTGCAGTGCGGTTTGTTGCCTGCAGACTGATTTGCCTTTGTGAGGGCAGCGATCCTCCGGAGGGAACCATCCGAAGGCAGATTCTGGTAAGGCTCATTGTGGCTGTGTAATGAAATACAGTTGATCCCCCAGGGAAGTCTTCAAATCTTATTGCATTTGCTTTGGAAAGAGAGTGAAGTATATGTCTGGTTCTGGAAGGGTAACTGGTGCTTTGGCAGGAGCATTGCTGACTCTCTCTTCTCATCACTTAAAGATAAGATTGATGATCCCATTTTTTCCCTTTTAAGAACACAAAGTACATGCTGAAGTGGGACCTGTATCTTACAGGGATACCTTGCTGAGCCATTGGAGCTAGGAGTGTCTGGGCAGTGTGGTTAGCATCCCATCTTCTCACAGGGTAAAATATGAGCAGGACATGCATTTATTTCAGTGTAGTGAGAGTCCCATGTGTTGGATAAGTGGGTCCTAGCTATTCTAAGTGAGCCACAGCTGCCAAGTCCTTAGTTGGGCAGCAGCTGTGGCTTGTAAAGATAACTGGGATAAAAGGGGTGGGCTGAGGGCCTGGAGGAGTCTCTGTGAAGTCATGAGGAACTGTGCTACAGAGAAGAGGTGCATGGTAGAAAACCAGCTGGAAGGCATGGACTTTAGGAATATAATAACAACAGTATGGGACTCTAGAAATATGATAATAACAATAAGATAACAATTTTTCTGTATCTCATAATATTGTCTAGTGGGCCACCATAAGTCTTATGCTCTGAGTGTTCATTCAGCAGTGAGAGTTGCTAGTCAGAAATTACAGAGCTGAAATACCCTTGTCCTGTGTTAGATCTGTGCTACAACAAGATGAGCTCTTACATTGCCTTTCTTGAAAGTGATTGTGTTTTCACAAAAGACTTACTACCTCCTTCAGATGTCTATGAAAACTGGGAAAGGATGGATAGATATTGGAAAAGCTGGTCTTGCAGATGGATTTCTAGAGAATGCCTTGAACGTAAGTTCTTTGCCACTTTTGATTTCTTACATACACCCCTGTCTGTAAGTTCCATGGGTGATGCCTGCACTTTGTTTTGCAGAGTATAGAGAAGCTGTATGCCAAGTTACGGAAGGGGAGCGAGGGTGAAGCAGATATTCAAGTGCACAGAGCTGATGTGGAGAAGAGCCTTTTCAAAGTACTCTCTTACCAAGCTGAATCAGTATGTGTTCTCAGCTTCCCTTA